TCTGTTTCTCTTTTAGACGTACGGGGTGGGTTTGAGATCCTCAGTAATCGGGGTAGTGGACCCTTCGTCCTATACTATTATCCTAATTTGGTGTCTATAGTTCCGGATCTTTTTGTGAGTCTTTATCGGAGTTTCAAGTACGGTGTCCTTCAGGAAACTATTCCAAACAGGGCTAGAGAGGGTATAAAAACCTACTGCCCATGTGCTCAGTCTCTTCTCTCCTCTGCTCTTTCCTGAAGAACCATCTTTCTGCTTCTGCAATAAACTGTAACCTTCTTCCCAAAGCAGTCGCCATGTTTGCTTATTTATTCCCGGCTTGGATGAACCAGGATGAAGACTTACTTCTATCAATACCCATTTGCTACAATAAGCAGAACAAAGAAATAGTTAGCCAATTTTCCTGGGGTAGGTTTGAAATACAAAATATGTACCTTGTATCTCTTAACTATAACTCCTGAAAATGCAAAAAAAAATAAAAATGGGCCCATCCATTTTGGTCATGTCACATCATTAGATACATCTCTTATGGCCCTTGAACACAGCAATCAGGATATATTAAACCTGACTGCTTCATTCTGCTATAATACAACCTAACTTGGACTTGCAGGAATAAAAATTGGAGGGGAGCTATATATACTCTAGCTTTGATTTGAGGAAGAATGATGAGATATAAGGGCTGCAGATAAATGAATAAGGCAATAGCTTATGTCCTACCTGATTTTTAAAAAAAATATTTTAGTAAAAACATTCATTGGAAACTGGCATGTTACAAAGCAAAACTCTGATTTCTATAATATTTAATTCTAATAATGCCATTGAACCTCACAGATATCTCCTGGAATGGCAAAGAAGATCCGAGGACCCTTGGGAATTTTGTTACTGGCCATGCCACATACTCTCAAAATGTCAAAAGTGCACATGCTCATAAACCCATTTCCTTGTACTGTGGGGAAAATATCATAAATTCCATTTTTTGTTTTATGTTCATCACAGGTGAGTCCAACTCCCTGCTAACTGCAAATCTTAGACTGATTATTCAAAATTTGTTTCTCTAGCTAGCACTTTAGCCCCCATCCTCTGTATTGCTTTGACTTGTTTGCTTTATGAAGAACAAAATAAATAAATCACCATGTTGGAGGAGCTATAAACCAGATAGCAACTTACAGATGGGCTGCTGAGGAGCCTTATGCTCTCAGACAAAATGGTAGATCGAAATGCCAAGTGTGTATCACGGGGTCCAATGCTTTTTTTCCTCCTCATCTCATCAAATAAGCGTTAAGCGTTAACTTTTTATTTTCAAAGTTCAAAAAAGAAGTTTTAAAAGTTTAAAATTTTATTTTCTCAGTAATCAATATTAGATCAGATTTCAAACTGATGGCATCATTTAGCTTTTTACATACAGTTTTTAGATTTTTAAATTTATTTTGGAGCAGTTCGCACATAAAGGAGAAAAGGAGAATAAATGTGAGAACAGGCTCTAATCCTGCTTTTGATCCTGCTTTGCCGTGCTTCCTTGCCTTTTTTCAGCCAAATTCAGGCTGAAATAAGGTCCTGCTCCTTATTACAATTGATTTTTTTGGCAATGCAGATTTCTTCTCTTCCAGCATCTCCTGGTATGAAAAATATTATGGATATAATAAGAAAAAGGACATCCCTTTTCTTATTTATATCCTTTTTCTTATTTATTATATTCCTAATATTTTTCATATCAGGAGATGCTGGGAGAGAAGAAATCTGCATTGCCAAAAAAAATCAATTGTAATAAGGAGCCGGACCAATAACAAAATCCTCATGGCTCATTATTAGATGGGCAAGCATCCCTCCTCCATTTGTTTTTCAACAAAGCTGCTTTACCCACTCATATACAAGCAGTGCAGAAATACATATTTTCCCCTTGGAGGTTTTCTCAATATGTATTTTTCTGTTATGTGCTATGTTTGTTTTCTCTCTCTTGATTTTCCTCTTCTTCCCTGCATGATTGTCTTTGTGTACAAACACAAAGACAAGAAATTTTACTCCGTATTTAAGACTACATTAATGCCTATTGATGCTCACTCACAACAGTCATTTATGTGATCATTTCCAACTGCCTATAAAAAGAATTTCAGAGAGTGAGGAAAAGCTACAAAAAAGAATGTTAATCCAACTTCTTTCTATATTCCATCAAGTATTAATGATTTTATGGAAAGGTTCCAGGAAACAGAGGAAAGCCAAGAAGGATAATCCCAGGAGTCTCCTTGTATTCCAGCTGGACTGCACTTTTCCCACACAGAATCTCTTAGCAGGAGGAATTCCTATTGCTAAAAATATTGCATTGTACAATTTTATCCATGAATTTTGCAAACTTTTATTGAAAGGATATATAGCCTGAAATACATCATTACAACTAGAAAATAAATTAATAAAGTAATAGCACCAATACTTTAAACAGATCAACATTATCTTCATATCAACACACACACACACAAAGATCATGTTGTTTTAAAAAATAATATTCAAATATTTGTTCAAAATCAACATTGCAAATTTAACTGAATCGTGTGAAATGTTTGTTCTAATACATAATTGAATGCTTAGAAGAGCATTCAATGGAAAAAGTTTATAAGTTCCCATTATGTAGATTGTCATTTCCATTTCACATCTTTCAATTACATTTTGAACCTTGACCTCCTGAATGAAAGGTGAAATATCAATCTAATAAAAAACAAATAAATTGATAATAAATGAAAAGGCAGATTAAATAAACTTCAGATGTCACAATGTCCATCAGTTCCTCATGTAGTCCACAGCTTTTAATATTGTAATAAAAAAAGAAAAAACATCCATCAGTATCTCTTTCCTTCTGAAACATGATTGGATTTCCTTTTTCAAGTTTGCATACACATTGTGCGATAAGCTCAGTAATTGCACATCACTTCAAATGGTATTTGCAAATTAAAAGCTGCACTTTCTACCACTAACAAATCTATTCCAGGATTATCCAGTTTCAGAAGTGTGAACAGCTACTGATTTACAGTATTTAGTCAATGTCTATGGCCACCCATCTCAATCCAATTGATTCTGAGCAATAACACAATTAAAACCATTGCTGAAAGAAAAATCTTCATCAGGGTCCAATCCAAGCTGGGAATAAAAAAAAAATGGAGACTGCTTTAGAAAGGTTTTGGTTTATTAAAGAGCAGAGCCAGATAGAAAGATGGCTCTGGGAAAGCTGACCACCTGTAGCTGGGAGTGGTGGGTTTTTATACTTTCTTGAGCTTTTGTTTGGAGTTCTTCCTGTTTGAGGCTTTGTATTTCTTGTGTCATGTACTTTGACTTGAGTCTGAATGTGCCCTTTTGGTATTGGTGGGTTAATCCTATTATGTTTCCTGTCCTTAGAATTTGGGTAGGGGTATGTACATTTTAGGGGTCTTTGTCTTCCTAATTTCTTCAGTTTCTAGCAGGAAGGCTCAAACCTTTCTGAAAGGATTATTGAATTTGCATTTCTAAAAGCTGGCCTTTGCTGAGTTTTCTGCTTGGGGGAGAGGGGCTGGGGCTGGTTTCTGTCCCTTTTTAAAGATCTTTTTCATTATTCCTTTGGGGAAATATATTCTGCCTTTTTAATATTCCCCAAAATATTTCTTTCTCTGGATTCTTCCCACACCATAAAACCATAAGTTAAAAATAATATATATAGCCAATCAAGATTTATCATAATAATTACATAAATTAACAGTGCAATCAGCTTCCAGGATCCCAGGCTAGGCAATATATAGCCCTTCATACACTGTTTAATTTCAACTCCCATTCTACCTCAATGATGGTATGTCTGATAAGAAATCATGTTCAACAAGATCTGAAAACCCAAAGACACTGGCACCTTTAAGTAGTGAAAATGGGTGGACTTCACCAAAAAGATGAATAATCTGACCGTAAAAAGTGGCTGACAAGTATTACTTTTAAACCGAGTTTATGCAACACATTAAGCCAAAATGTGATTTGCCTGTTTGTGGCTTTACATGTCATGTGAACCAAAATAATGTGATTTGTAAACTATGACTTTTATGGTTTAGCATGTTGTGTGAATGTATGTTCTTCATGTGGGTTCAAAGCTGTGGAGTTCAAGAGGGCCTTTATTGGATAGTCATCAATTATGCTGCCTCTTAGCTCCTACCTTGCTCAACTACAGGCTAAGCAGCAATAGCTCCCTCAAAAAGGGAGCTATTAACACCCCCACATTGTTATTAACAAATTGTGCTGCTCTTAAAGTCTTATTTTTTCCCCCCAAAAGGGTTCATTTGAGATTCCAGTAGAATGCAGCCATATGCTCTTCCTCTGGGATACACTCTAGTATGTACCAGCAGTGCCCCTTGGATTCTCTCTAGGACAAATTCTGCACAAAAGAACTCATGAACACAAATCTGGCATCTGAGCTCAGAACAAGAACAAAGTAATTGCACTTCAACTTCCTAGGGNAGGGCACTCTATTACAGACGTCAAAGAGAAAAAAACCCCAAGATTTGAACATAACCGACAACAAAACACTCGTTAACTGACAAGGCATTTGTATTTTTTTCTGACACCGAACCTTCATCCGCACAAGCAACCTGCCTTCCCCTCCCTTCCCAACAGAATCCTCCATCAATCAGGTCATGCATCTGATGAAATAAATAACGCATTTGGAAAGATGCTACCACACTACTCCCGCTTTTTTGTTACCCTAGACTGAGCAGGTTTCCTAAAAAATGGAGCAACAGCTCCTTAGCAGCCCCATCCAGCCGCTCCTTTCCACGTTCGGCCGATACGAAGAGCAACTACGCTTCCCAGGATAACCCGCGGCGACGTTAGCCCAGGAGCACTCTGGGCAGCGTAGTCCCTTCTTCTATATATGGGCATGAAGCGGCATCCTTTTTCACATTATGCAGATGAGGAGGCGGGTCTCTGGATCCCGCGTACAAGAGGGCTATCGAAGGATGACCAATAGGCGGCGAGCAGAGCAGTTGTCGGATGCGGCAACAGTGTACCTTCTGTATGAGAAGGCGGGGAAGAAGGCGCCTTCACCGGCCGAGCCGTTTCCTCCTCGCATGTGTCTTGCAAACGAGGAGGGAACATTCGCCTGCGGGAGCCATGTCTGAAAGCGGCTCCGCGTCCGCCGCCGCCGCCGCCATCCCTAATGGAGGGAGCGCCGCTCGGCATCCCGGCAACCTAGTCACTGTAGTCCTGGGAGCACAATGGGGCGACGAAGGGAAGGGAAAAGTGGTGGATCTGCTCGCGCAGGACGCGGACATCGTCTGCAGGTGCCAGGTGAGCGCCCCGATGGGCCGACGGGGGTGTCAACTTGAAGGCTTCTGGAAGGGAAGCCTTTGCCTGGCGCAAGACAAAGGCGGCAGCGGCGGCGGGATCCAGAGGCATCTTTTGGAGCCTTTCCCGCCTTAATTGCGAGAGAGGCTGCCGAGCGCTGGGTCGATTAATTGCGCCCCTGCATCTCTGTGCCTCTCGGGGCTTGCTTGTCCTCCGTCCGCTTCTTTTTCTCACGACGGAGGCTTCCCGGGTTATGTATAGTGTGATCGCACCAGTGTCGGGTCGCCACAGTCTTCCGCTACCCGGAGGGTTTCCGTGCAGAAGATGCCGCGCGTAGTTCCCGTCCCCCCGCCGACGACGCTGCTTTATGACGGGACCAGGATCGCGGCAACCGCTTCCTCTTTTTTGCTTCTCCCTCGGCGAGCCCGTTACGGCCATTTCCCGCCTGGGGAGGGGTGGGGGCGGCTTTGTCGCCCGCCAGTCGGTTGTCCCTTGTTCCTGCAGTGCAGTAGGGCGCGCGATTTGGGCGAGGCGGAAAAGCCTTTGCAGGACCAAACGTAGGAATGAGTAGTAGAAGAGCGATGGTGACGGGTGAGGCCTTTGCTCTCCCGTTACCGGGGATCTGTCCTTGTCTCGCTTCCATCCTAAATCCGCCGATATGCGAAGAATGAATACATTGGGTTCCGTTCTCGTTGTGCGTCGATTACATAGAGAGCGGCCGGTTTTCCTCCCGCCTGAACAGGCAGCCAGTGATCCAACACGTTTTTTCTGGTGCGAAAATATACCGAGATTCTACATCTTCTCATTTGTGACCGTTCTGATACTATTCCTATCAGTTAGATATACCTGAGGGGCGGTGGGAGTGATATTAAGAGCAGGCAGTGCAATCCCCCAGGATTATTCTTAAAAGAGTTGTCTGTGGTTAGGCATTTTACAGGAATTGACTTAGTCCATACATAAGATCATGAAATGAAATTATAATTTGAAATAGAATTTACTCCTATACTTGGCTAATATTCAAAGCTAAATCCATCTCTGCCCAAGAAATTTGTAATTTTATCTTCACTGGCTTCTCCAGTCTTCAAAAATGATAAACATGGGAGATGAAGAGCCTGTGATAAATTCATTAAAGTCTATGCAAGTACTATGAATGTTCTGTGTCTACTCTTTCATTTGTTTATTTCAAACAGGCTCAGACTAGGAAAAGGTTTCTCAGTCATAAACAATGTCATGAAATAGTAGTTTCATGCTTTTTGTTTATTTGTGTGTGCATGCCTTTGAGTCAGAGTTGATTTCTGGTAAACACTTGGACTAATCCCTGTAGTTTTTTTGGCAAGGTTTTCTGGAAATGGTTTGCCATTGCTTCTTTCCTAGGGCTGAGAGAGAGTGACTGGCCCAAGGTAACCCAGCTGATTTTGTGCCTAAAGCAGGACTAGAACTCCTGGTCTCCTGGTCTCTAGCCTGATGTCTTGTCCTCTGCATCAACCTTAGCTGTCTCTAAGTTCCATGCTTAGAAGTTAAAAACTAGATTGCCTACAATAGCTAGATTAATTTTAAACTCACAGAAACTGAGTAAGCTTCATTGTCTGCTTTGTATATCTTACAACAAAACCTTAACACTCTTTTTGGTTTGTTTCTAAAGAAGAAACAAAAACAAAGAACACTCACTGGTTTAGGAACGCTAAAGCCTGTTTTCTTCAAGTCATCTACTTTATGGATCTTTGGCAGTATTAGTTTGAAAAAATTTCTCCTATAACTTTACAGAATTGTAGCACTGGAAACTATGGACATTTTTGTAATAGGAACAAAGGTCAGAAACCTAAAGGATCAGTTAAAATTAGGCTTTTCTTTTTTACAGCATGAAAAACAAGCAGGTATTAATATTTAAAGAATGGATTTCATTGTTTCATGTAACAGATTTTTAACACTTATCTTGAAAGACATCTCAGAGGGTCAGAGAAACTTCCAGACCGGCCAGGTTTTTTTTGTTTAATGCAGAAAAGGAAAGAAGGTAATAATAATGAATCCAGCTCAGGGACCTTGGCATGTGACAAAATTGTGAAAGGCTTCAAGGATAAATCATTTGTATTGATATTGACTGGAATGTTGCTTTCAATACATTGCATACAAAGTGTCCTGTACCTCTTTTTGTTTAATATATGAGATTGTTTTCAGTTTTTTGAGACCTAAGGATGTGTATCTGGTCTACCATATGCTACCTTGACTTCTGATCATTTTGGCTTAATAAATATATAGGCTAAGAGGATTATTTGAGTGAAGCCAAGATATAGTGAAACGATGTCTGCATGATGGACTGATGCTATCAACCTTGAAGGAAGCATTGATCCGCCCATTCCTGAATATGCCCTCTGGACCCAGAGTTTTTTGCTGTCCTGATAATAACGCCCCCCCTCCATTTTTTTGAGGAAATTACACTATTTGAAAAAGTAGTACTGTATTTGTGCAGCTATAGATATTTTTGAGGAGTCTTGATATAGATTCAGACATGATTTGGGGTAGAATCAGCCAAGCCAAGTAGAGAACTTCGTGCAAGATAGAGTCAGAGGGAGTGTTATGTTATTGATCTTGCTTGGTCTTTTAATAACCATAACCATCTGTTATGCTGTTCTCTGTAAGTTACATAGTCTGCACTAAAATGAATCTACTATTGCTTGCAGGGATATCTCAGAGAGAAGTTATTTGGTAACTGTCTGCATTCTGGCAAATCCCAACTTTGTCCCAACTATTATTTAACATCTATAATAAGGCTGCTGGAGATGGTTGTCAAGACTTCAGGGGCTAAGTATAATCAATATGCCAATGATACTCAGTTTCTTTCCATGTTACTCATACAGGAGAGACTATATGTGTTCTGAAACAGGATAAATGATGAGGAGGGATGTGAAGTAAACAGTTTGAATCCTGAGAACGTGGAGAGCTCATGCAAGAAGGTGTTTTTTAGGAATTCTAAATGGGGTTGCACTTCCTCAGAAAGCGATAAGTAGTTTCCGCATGTGTTTGAAGTCTTTGTCATTGGAGGCCTAGGTGGCCTATACAGCCAGAGATTGCCTGTGATCAGCTTTGGTTAGGGTAGTAATTGTTGTTATAGCAACTAGTTCAGAGGAAGTCTAATGTTTACACATCAGTACCCTTGCATTTGGATTATTATGCTAAATGCAGAATTTCAATTTGATCTAATTGTAGCTCCTTGGAATGCAGTAGTCAAGTTGTTAGATGGGACACTTGCCTATAGTCATGTTGCACCTCATTTGAAGCAACTGCACTGACTTTCAGTTAGTTATTGAACCAAGTTCAAGGATTTTTTTAAACATATACATCACTGAATACCTTGGGACTGTTACAGACTTGGTTAAGCATTAAGATCATTTGGGAAATTAGAAAAGGATTATATTTCTTTTCCAAAAAATAATGTGTTATTCAAAGCAATATTTTTTACAAGATTATTTTTCTTTTTCAATTCCAGCTACTACATGACAGTACACCTCTGAATGATATACATATGCTTTGTTAAAAGTTAGGAAACAAAATTAAGATGCCTATTCTTTTATTCTAATACTTTGCAACAAATTTGAGCAGAAAATAGCATGCCATGTCTATGATCTTGTGGAGTTTATTTTGTGTTGGAGGGGGGTGCTTATTTTTTACAACAGCTCTCCCCAATCTACTATCCTGTTATAGAAAGGTTTCAAGCAAAGTTGCTCAAGGACTCTTTGAATGTTTGTTAGAAATTTACCGTAGTTATCTTGGGCAATTTTTGTCTGTTGGATAAGATATTAATATTGTATTGTACTTTTTTCTTTCATAATACTTGTTTTGTAATTCCAATCACATTGTATAAGAAACTGCTACCAGAGGTGAATAATGACATTTTATCCTTTATTTGCCCTTAGTTATTCAAATAATTTTATGTTGATAACTTCTCTTCTAAATCTGCCAGTAATTATATCTGCAACTTTATTATATGCTTCCCCTGAAAAGCTTTTTAATATTTCTCACATTGTAAGAATTATATGCTGCTAATTTAGGCTGAAATCCAGAATGTTATTTAGAAATGAACCCTAATGAATTCAGGAAAATATGTATTTCTATGTAAATATACATGGACTTTGCACTTTACAATACAGCATGACAATAATGAACTTATTTTCTGTTCTAAAGTGTTAACCTATGAGATTACTAGATCATTTTCCTTTGAAGCATATTTATGTAACAGTTCTGCATGCTGAGGAAATTGGATATTTTAGAACTATCAACGAGTGGTCAGCTCATTCACGCAATCTGAGCCAACATTATTTTTTAAATGATTCTGCCATTGCAGTCATAAAGCAAAGCTTTACCACAAGAGTTTGTTCTGATTAAAATGGCATATTAAAATAAATGTGATAGCAGCATCTAGTTATCAAAGGTTGTCTTTATTTAATAGCAGTCCTAAGAATTCAGTATGATTGAGAGTTTTGTTCTAGATTCCAGAGACTTACTGTCTGATATATTTGTAATTAGAATATCTGCTATTGTTTACAAATGTGTATACAGTAGTTGCAATGAGAGCGTGGCCTCATTTGTTCTCCTTTTTTGCTAATCCACAATACAACTTACTGGGGATTCCATGCATGTTAGAATCTCTATTTGCAAGATCAGTATCATATGCTTGACATACATTTTGTGAAATGCCATCGAGGTCACATTTAGTGGAAAGACAGTAACTAAAAGGTTTTTGACCATATATTAATGAAATTCCTGGATTTGGTATCAGATAGATAAGTACAGAAGATACAGCAAATAGATTCATATTGTAGCATGTTTACACATATAGAATTTTAAGCTAGTAAATATTTTGTCACTTTTCAGGTCTGTTGATTATAGATAATTGTTTTTGGATATCACTCTCAGAATTCTATGTTTCTATTGGAATCTTCATGTTTACTAATAAAATGAAAAGTGCCATTATGTTTTGGTATCTGAAAAAAAAATAATGGGAAAGGCGATGGACCATAGATGTTACCTCAGCAACCTAAGTTTCAAACTTAGTATGTTGAACAGAAAATTCTGAAAAGCAAGTTAACTGTTACTTAGTTGAATATAAATAGAAAAATGATATTGTAAAGAAGGGCCTAATATCATAAAACAATACAATTCTGCTTAGGTGACACAAATCTTTGGAGAACTCAATCATGTAAGCAGTAATAAATAACCTCTTTGCTCTGTGTTCACAGGAGTTCAGATTCTTATAGAGAGAGAAGAGTTGCTTGTCACTGTTTACATTCTGAGTTCTACATTGGTTTATGTTACTTGAACAGTGCTTTATGTCTGTGCTAAAATAAACAAAAGTGGATCAGTTTTCACATGTCTCCAGAGTGGTAGCTGTGTTAGTCTTTTACATCAAACCCAATAAATAAAAACTCTTAAAGATTCCCCATCCAAACACAACATTAACCATCTGAATTTAAGGGAGCATGAACATAGGATGTGGGTGTAAGATTACCATTTGGATCAATCTATCACATACATTAAGCCTCAAATTACCCCCGAGGACTGTCTGAAGATTCTTATATTTGAGCAAAAAATGAGCGTGGTATCAGTTTCATTTGTTAATCAAATAAAAAAAAAATGCTTCAATATGTATGAATACATCCATTGCGAAATCTTAGCTCATGTCTGTAGTTATAAACAACAGATAATGATGCGAATAAGATTTGTATGCAAGTGAAAATGTATTGATTTAAATGATTGAGAGGTCATTGACAGAAAGTAATAATGATAATAAGACAACAAATGCTGTTTCTCCAGCAAATGCTCAAATGTGTCAAAATTTTAGCTGTGTAACACTGATTCTGTTTGCTGAGACTGTAAGTGGTCAAATGGAAAATTGCTCAAATAACATGGAATTAAAAGCACATCTAGAATATGGAGCAACTTTTTTTGCTTTTTCTGATTTATGAGATTCTGAGGCAGTTAGAAGGTATTTATTATTTATTTAGCATGTGGCATATCATACAAGGACTAGTAATATATATTAACATTTCATCTAGATTCACCTAGGTGAAATTTAAAGGTATGTTCCTGGTAGATCAGATGAGATCAGAATTCTCATCTTTCAGCCTAATTTTTAATTTCTCATTTTTCAATTTGCCACACACCTTCTTTAGATAATAGTGGACAACTGGGGTTTTTTTTTGGGGGGGAGGGGAAATTTACACTCTGGTTTTATTGGCTAGCACAACACATCCAGTGGGAAGAGGAATACTTCTGAGTTCCATGTTGGAATTAAATGCTTTATTTTGAATGAATGGAAGAGAAAATATAAAATGAATTAATGAGATTCTCAAAGTTTAGACAGATGCACAAGAGACATGGAGGATCATCATAATTTCAAAAAGGTGTTGAATGAATGGGCGTTAAACAAAGATTACCTGCAAAAGCAGTTCAGGAGTACCTGTATCCCATCATGACCATGGAACCTTTCTTAGTAAGCTCTGGCACATCACTAATGTGGAAGGGAACTTGAAATTCTTCACCCTTCTGCCCTGGGTTGGGAACCCAAGACTCTAGGAGGTAGGCTGTCCACTGTTTAGTAGCCTTCATAGTCTGGAAATTATTTCTTATTTTGAGTTTGGATTTCCCTTTATGTCACTTTTACCTATTGGTTCTTTCTGCCCTTGGATGTTTCCTAGAATAAACCCGCATTCTTTTTGTTGTGACAGTCCTTCAAGTATTGAAAGATTGCTATCATGTCTCCTCTTGATTGTCTCTTTTGTAATCTAAATGTACCCCTTACCATTTTTATCAGAGGGTAGATGACTTACAAGAACTTGGGGGGGGGGAGAATTCAGTTTTGCTATATTTTCTGTATTTCTTGGTGGGCTTCTTTGTACTATTAACTGTAATATCCTTTTGGAAAGCTTGTTGAAATTGGATTGTGGGGGGACGGGCAGGGACAGTGTTTTTACAGTTGTTTGGATCATGTCCAAGAAACAGTGGGGGCTGTTTTTTGGCCCCTGCTGTCTCAGCACATAGGACCTCTGTGAAGATGCAACTATTTCACTGAGCTTTTAACTGTTATATGATTTTGGTGTTTAATTTTAATTTGTATTTATGACTTTTATTCTGTTTTTCTTAATTCTTTTAGTTTGCCTTGAGTGCTTACCAGAGCATTAAGGCAAGCTATAAATCATGTAAAATAACTATGGTACTCTTCAATACTTTTCTTTTTTCTGCTTGTTGCTGTTATTGTTATCTGTGTATATGTGTGTGTGTCTGTATGTATTTATCTGAGCAGAACTATTATATTTAATGGCATATTTTCACAAGTGGTTTATTGCATGGTCACTGCTGTAGTATTTCCATGTTTGTGAAAAGTTGCTGTATTTTAATGTTGCATTAATTTGTTTATTTAAATGCTGCCCAGACAGTAGATAAATAACTTCATATTGACTCTTGACAACTCGCAATGCCAGATAATGTAAAAATAACAATTTGCATAAAACAGTAAATAGATGTAAATGACAATTGTTAATGAGCAACATGCTAATTTATAGTGTTAAATAGCACCTGGTTGACATCTGCTACGGGAATACCCAAACTCAAAAGCGAACATGTGCCCCACTTTGTTAAGCATTATATCCAATTCTGATTTGCATATATCACAAACTGTAGACAAAGATTTTCAATTTTCTTTGGATGTTTCTGATTTCTGGAGGAACCAAGCAGAAATTGTTGATCCAAATGCATATATTTAAAAACTATTAAATTAATGGAAGTGTCATCCCCACTTACACGAGCAGTGGGTAAGCACATGCATATATGCACTCACCCGCCACTCAAATGGAACCATCCCCTCTCCCTCACTGCCAGTCCGCAAAGCTGGAAAGGTTGGGAAACTTGGTTTTAAAGGATGAAATCTTTCTTTCATTAGAACAACCCACTAGAGTCCTAAATTTATTTAAACTTATAGATCTCTGTCAATAATTTTACTTCCTTATTAATATACATATAAATGAAAAGGCAGATTGGAAGAAGCAGTCAAGTGAATATCAGTGGATTTAAGAATATTCATATACATTTTTGTTTAGGCTACTAAGATATATGTCCTCTAGCTCAGGGATCTTCAACTGTGGCAACTTTAAGACTTGTGGACTTCAACTCCCAGAATTCCTCAGCAAGTCTTAAAGTTGCCAAGATTGGAGACCCCTGCTCTAGCTGTAAAAAGGGACGTTGAAAGAGTCAAAGTATCTTTAGTGAGAATATATTTTTTATATTTATTTTTAAATAAAGTTAAAAATATTTTTAATAGGGAGGCAATAATGCTGGACATACGGTTGTTGTGGATTCTGTGGAATATGATTTTCATCTGTTACCCAGTGGTATCATCAATCCGAAAGTCACAGCATTTATTGGTAAGTAATTTTTACTACTCTATAAACATACCATTCTTGTTAGTCAAGATCTTGAATGTTTATCAGTGTTTATCAAAAAATGGAATGTATTGTGCAGTAACTACAGTTACTGTTTACATGAGGATATATAAAGGACACTTGCTTTAATATTTATGCAAATAAAGAAAGAAATACACATTTCTAGACACCACCCATGTTAGTGGTATCTAGGGAAATTATTTGTTTGCTTTTGTTTTCTCAGAGTACCACACTATTTGTAGTTCTGATGTGTAGCTTAATTTATGACTAGATGCAAAAAGTTAATACATGATTGAAACAATGCTGGGAAACCTCTCAAGTTAAAACATAGAGGAAAAAACAAAAACTGTCCATATTGTATTTGTGTATTGTTGTTTTTAATTCCCCCAGTGATTCTAATACTAGGATGAAACAATTTGTTTTACCATTATGCAGTAAGTTGCAGAAGATAAGACTTTCCCCCCCAAAGACGCTGTTATAGGGATGCTAAGCAAAAGGAATTGCATATCAGGGTGATCTTTTTTGACCTCAGAATTCAGGGTGAATGAGTTACCATCTGTCTTTCCTAGCAAATGTAAATGCAATGCATAATGGGGAATAGGAGTGTATCCTTTTCCTCTTCTGAGTCATTCATATTTCCATACATCAGTATATTTTTAATATCTACTTTATACATGAAAAATCAAGTTTTTATTGATTAAAGTGCACAAGTAACAGGTTGCCTATGTCTAAGCAAGTTCCTTCTGTCTGTTGGAACATTTACAAGTACCCATTCATGCAAGTCTGGCAATAGGGTAGGCAGGGGCCAAATGCATTCCTCAAATAACAGCCTACCCTAACTTTACACTCTGTTAGCTATTTTGGACTACAGTTCACTTTATCCTCAACCATCATAATAGAAGTTGCAGTTTAATGAGTCTGGAGGATACAACTTTCAGGAATTCCTGCAAACATAATAGATGCTCTTTTTCACATTTTAGAAACATAACAGCAGTTACACCACAAAGATTAAAAATATATACCTTGCTTAAAATTCCCATAATAGGATCTGTGAGAACCACTGCACCCATGTGCACCTCTCCTCCACAATGAGAAGCTGGCACAATATAAAGCAAGGAGCTACACTATTAGTTTTATTTTCGAAAATGTATTTTAACTTTACATAGATACTGTAGACATTCTTAGAAAATTCAATTGCCAGTTGTAAGGCTCCTACTTGCCCTATATGAAGACAAGGTTAAATTGCCGCTTATAATCTTGAAGATGATAAAAATAGGTGGGAAATTTTGTCTTCTACACAGTGATTGCAAGTGATCATATGAACCATGTTATAAATGATAGGCCCCTATGTGGCAGCCATTTTGTGAGACCAGTCACAAAAGTCTTAAAATGAGTCCTTCATTTGAGAAGCAGTTGGGGGGGGGGGGAAACAGGCACATACCATTGTGGGACACTATAGAATAGTATTACTGTGTTTACCCGAAAGTAATATTAGATTATTCCCCCCCCCAACATATGGGAAGGCTATCTTAGATTCTCCAAAGAAATGGTAGATTCATTTCTGTTTGTCTGTTGTTGGTTTTTTTGAGGAAGAAAAAAGTTTTAAATTCAGTTTTTTTTCTTTGAAAATTACCATTAATGTGGCAGTTTTAAATGTTGATGGCAACAACCTGGAAAAAATATGTATACATACCACTGAAGTAATTTCAGGTTAAATTGTAAGCTCTGATACAAGTAATAAGTAGAGGTTAGTTCATATTAACCAGCTATAGTGTAAAGATCTTCAAATTCTTCAGTTTGTATCCAGTGGCTGATTTATGCTACTTGAGACTGCTTACTCTTAGGTAAATTGGGTCTCCATATTTGTGTTAATCTCTCTACTGAATGAATAATCACTCTTCCATATCCTATATTATTCCAGAAGGTGCTTTAAAAAAATACTTTCTTGTGAATCAAAATCACCACTACATGATAAAAATATGTGTATAATTGTATTTGCATTATTTTATCATACTTCAAATTGTGACCTTTGGAAGAGACCTCACATTATTTTTTTGAACTTTTTTATGTTTTTCTCCAGGAAATGGTGTGGTAATTCACCTGCCAGGGTTATTTGAAGAAGCGGAAAAAAATGTTAAAAAAGGAAAAGGTGAGAATACCTTGGTAAGCTACTATTTGAAGAAGTTCTCATGGTCGTCTCACAACAGTATACTTTCATGTTTCCCCGAAAATAAGACCTGGTCTTATTTATTTATTTTTGCCTCTAAAAGAGGCACCAGGTCTTATTTTCAGGGGATGTCTTTTCCATTGTCTCATCTCTCAGTGACGGCACCAGCCGCCCAGCCTCTGTTTCGCCTTTAGAAAGGCCTCTGCAGCCGAGCACCGAGCTCCGGATTGACGCATGTGGCACCCCCCAGTCTCCGGGGGCGCCACATGCATCAATCCAGAGCTTGGTTCTCGGCTGCAGAAGTCTTTCCTGAAGGCCTCTGATGGCAAAATGGAGGCCGGGGGGCGCCGTGTGTGTCAATCCGGAGCTCCATTCTGGGCTGCAGAAGCATTTCCTGAAGGCCTCTGACAGCAAAATAGAGGTCAGGGATGATGCATGCAAGCGGCGGCGAGTGGCCACAGAAGTGGGCTGGCGAGGCAGGTGTCGGGGCATGGGAGGCCTGGCTGCAATGGTAAGCCGGTGCTGGGTGCATGGGGCAGCTCCACTCGCCGCCCCCACCCTAGCTTGTTTTTAGGCATTCGCCCCAAAACTATGGCTTATTTGGGGGGCAGGTCTTATTTTTGGTGAAACACGGTAGAACAGAGTGTTTGGTAATGTACTGTTCCCATGCAGTAGCCTTATATCCAATTAGCAATTTGATGAACAACTAATTCCCTTTGATAGGATAGGATAAGGTGAGATAAGATAAGATAAGATAAGATAATCTTTATTGTCATTTTTTATTGTGGGCACAATGACACACATCAAAAATGAAATTTAGTTGCCCGCTCTCAAAGTGAACACATACATGACACACACCCAAACATACTATATACAACATATGTATAGACCTACACCCCTACATGGCTTTGGCTTTTTTTAAAGAACATATTTGTTTCATACCTCTAATATCTAGCAGTACAGTGCTCCAAAATGGGAATGATGTTAGTATGATGCTAAATTAGATAACATCTAATAACATATTACAAAAATAGAAATATAGACATTCTAAAAAATATAGAAATACATGTATGGAAGAACAGACTTATCTGAACCAATCTTCAAAAGCATCCCACAGTCCTGCTCTCTAACTGTGCTTTATCAGCTGGGAAGATTTTTTTAGAGCAGTTTTGAAAGACATAGGATTTGCAGAAGAAGGAAAGAAAATCTCACTGCATGAATACAAGTTCACTAATATGATGTTAGAAACCCCACCTGAGATTTTAGAGAAAGTTCAAGGTTTCAAGGTGCACTTTTTAAAATGGATTTAAAAAATTAAATCTCCAAGAACACCTCAACTGCAGTGGCAATATATAGTTTTCTTGGTAGCAATGTGGAAATGGTTTGCTACTGTCTTTCTCTGGGATTTTTCCTTTTCCCTTTTTGCTTTAGCTTAAAGACCTGGAATTCTCAAATGATCTCCCAACCAAGCTCTAATCTGGACTGATATTTCATATTTTTTTAGATCAGCCCAGATGATTAGACGGTTAGATGGAATCCTGTTTATACTTGAGTAATAGCAATTTGGCTTAGGGGAACATACTCTTGCATAAATATGCATGGGATTGCATTATTAAACACTGACAAATAAAATTAATGAATATTACCTAATATTTCTTCAAAAGGTTTAGAAGGCTGGGAAAAAAGGCTAATTATATCGGACAGAGCCCATATTGGTAAGTAATTATATTAATTGCATTCACATCAATGTATGTATAATTCTTTACTAGGTCTTCATGAAGTCATTATTCTTTGATGGACTACTTGTCAATTCTTAAAGTAATTATTGCAATTCCAAATGCCATTTTTTTTTATCTGTAGTATCCTATGACTGTATTCAGGGGAAAATATGATTAAGTTAATGCCTCAAGCCATTTTTTTCTGATTATACTTCATCTTATTGAGATTTTGATTCTAAAATTAGCTTAGTGTTGCAGAAGCAAATGCTGATTTTTGTCATATTTTAAGATAACCTTTTCAACAAGGTCATTCTTCTCTCCAGTTAGTTTGACAACTAAATTGCTCAGCCAGGGAATACTCCCTATTCCAGGCTTATTTCTGCATTCTCATTCTTAGGATCAGATTCACATAACAAGTGCTGACTTTGATTACATTGCTTAACCAAATCTTGACTCAAGCAAATATCTTTTCATCAGAGAAAATTTAAAAGTAAACGTTTAGCACCTTTAACTCGTGCAATCAGTTGCAGTGAGAATCTTTTAAGGAAAAATAAAAATTTAGTCAAGAAAAAACTGGTATTCTGGGAAATGTAGGCTTCCAAAAGTGTCATTTGCTTGTCCTATACTGTGAGTACTATAATGAATGAGAAATATTTGCCTGCTAGTACTCTAAATAGATTCAGTCCCAAGATCATAGTTACCCATTTATCACTGATTATGATTATGTGCCATCGGGTTGTTTCAATCCTACAGATCACATAAATTTTCTCCATGACAATTACCATTTCTGATAAGCTACATTAAAGATTTATTGTTTAACCACAGGTAAGGAATCAACAGTCTGCCATCTGGAAAGCCTCTTGTTCTATTTTGTGGCATCTCACCCACACCAGTTCATTAAATAGGTTTTAAAAAGTTTTCCACTGGCACCAGAAGTTTTTTCCCCAAAGCAAATGGCTCTGCAAGAATGATTTGGGTGTGGATGGCTAACTAAAGAGAAAAGTTGGAACTAAGCAATCATTACAGCCAGTGAAAGTTTTTTTTTTATAATTCTAACCAGTTTAACACTATTAGATTCTGCTTGAGAAGAAGGAGTTTAAACATATATTTGAGAATATAATTTTATTTGCAGCATAGTACAATATAGTTTACAACTGCCACATTTCCAGTCTTGCCAAATTAAAGTGTATAGTTTATAAACAATTTTTCTTCTGGTGTTTTCTGTTGGATCTATTGAATCTTTATTTAGTTGCTAATGAAAATAAGGATCTCCAAAATTTAAATTTGTATAAATTTGTAGAGAAGTCCACTCATTTTGTACTCTTGAAATTCCTTAGTATTTGACTTCCACCAAGCTGCTGATGGCATTCAAGAACAACAAAGACAAGAGCAAGCAGGGAAAAAGTATGTTGTGCTTTTTCTAATATCTTACTCTATTTAATGTCATGAAGGGTCTTTTTTGTCAATTCTTCCAGAATATTTTATAATAAGATTATTCAGAAACTTTTTATAGGATGTCTGAAACATCTATAAAATCCTATTTATTTTTGTATATTGATGAGGCAGGCAGTTTAAAGGTTTAAAAAGTGAGATTTTTCTGCAACCCAAATTGTACAACCAGAACACACATAAGGTGTGGTTTGTTCAGTAAACTTGGTTTTAAATTGTAAGCCTCAATCTGGAGGCTTACATAGAACCCAAGGAATATATAAGAAAAATACTCTATTTTTTTTTAATGTAGAACATGATTATAAAGACCAGTTACCTGTTAAGTATATAAATCTTGTTCTTGATCAATAATACAAAATCTATCTGAACCTCCAGGATCAGATTACAACATGTTATTGTAAGCAGTGCATTCTAGAGATTAAGGACTCTGAGCTAAACCTAATGCATACAATAATGAAATCTTGATCAGAATCAGGAAAAATAGCTGATATTAAATAAACGTGTTTGAGAGTCTAACTCTGTGCCAAAGTATTGAAATGGCAGCATTAATCATTAATGATGTATCCAAGGAGGGAAGGGACAGCACTGTTTGTTTGCTTGTCATTTTATTTGTGTATGTTTCTATCTGTCATGCCAAAAACAAATGATCAAATTTGTAGAGCCATTTTTCTGGATCTCTTCCTTCCCATACTGTAGCAAAATATAAAAATATGATTTTAGTTCATCCATGCAGTGCCAGTTTTCCCCCCCAAAATATTTAATAAGTCCATTTAAAAAACACCATCGCCATCCTGGTGGATTCACTTTAAAGATGCAAAATAAAAATATGGGAAACTGCTTTTTATCACAATATAGGAAGAGGCAATATCAAATTATTGGTGATGTGGTATTTTTTTTATGGGTGTTAAACTGTATTCAAAATAACAACTCTGGCTAACTGTGTTTTTAATATTTGTTATCTTTGAGAATATAATTTTTATTTAAATAGAATGCTTTTTAGCTATTGATATCAAATAATGAACAAAATAAAATCCAGTTGCACCTACAAATTAGCAAAAATATTGTTACCATTTGATTCATATTAGGCTGCCAATTTATTATATTAGTATATTATATTATTTATTAATTACTATATTTCTATGTTGGAATAAGGATTCCCTGTGATATCACACTTAAAACTGCAGAAGCACAGATAACAGATTGGTTTGGTGTTTTTTTTTCAGTATCTGAAATGTAGATTAACTTTGACTCAGTTGTTTAAACTAAAGATTTAGTAACAGCAAACCCCAAATATTTTTTTTGCTTCATTTACTGTACATTGCTTTAAGCTTTTATTGAGTATGGATACAGATCAGATCAGTAATGTATAGCATTTTGATGCAGAGTAGAGTGAACTCTTCCTGCTTTTTATATATAGCAGCCAAGATCATACATTGCATTAATTCACTATATGATTTGCCTGATTTAGGCTTAGAATTATGTGTGAATTCAGATACTGTGGTTTGAAAAACCCAACATTTATATTTAAATGTTAGTTTATTCAAATTATAGTTAAATAAACCTTAGTTTAGTACAATATATAAACTGCTTACTTTATTTGTGGTTAGAGACCAAAAGATGAATAATTTGAGGATGTAGATACAGTATGGATATAGATATATGTCCTATATAATGTAGGACTTAGGACAGCAAAATTTTACATCCAACCATGAAAGAAGACTTTTTGACCACTTTGAATGATAATATCTGTACAATTTTAATTTGAATAATCTTAAAATTTAGCAATGTGCCAGCTTTTCTACACACCGCTTTATGTTAAAGCAATTTGTAACATGCTAATAATCATACTATTAAAATTCAACGAAATCTACGTAAAATTGTGTAAATTTTAGTTTAAAATAAATGTGTATTTTTATGTTTATCATAATTTAACAACAGAAAGTTAGTATTTAAACTGTGTGTGCATACAGGCACACACCTGCATACGCATACATACATTTAAATTATTTATATCAGTGTTTGCAAAAGCCTGCCACTGACAATGGTTGTCTGCCTTTTATATCCCACTTGCCTGCATTCCCCCCTTTTTCAATCCTCCCGTTGGATGCTCACACGAGAGCACGTTTTTAACTCCTGTGAGTGGCGAGTAGAAACATCAAAATGAATTTTATTTTAAAAATATTAACAAGAAATCAGTTATCACGTTTGAGAGTCAATCAGATTGTGTAGTATGTGTGTGTGTGTTTTTTTATTTTTTTGTGTTTTAAAGCTTGGGAACCACAAAAAAGGGAATTGGTCCAGTGTATTCTTCTAAAGCAGCTCGAAGTGGGCTCAGAATGTGTGATCTAGTTTCTGACTTCAATGAATTTTCAGAAAGGTAACAATTTCTCTAGTGTAATGTTACATTCTGTGTATATTTATTACTAGGGCAATCAGTTTTCTTATTTGTAGATTCTGATTTTCATACTCCTTGCTGGATTTCTCACTTATAATTTTTTCTCTTTTCACTTTCTAAAATCAAAGACTGTATCAAAGATTTGTGTGAATGTTTTACACCTATAATAGAATATAAACTTTTTTACTTTTTAGATTCAAAGTGCTGGCCAATCAGTACAAATCTGTTTACCCTACGTTAGAGATTGACATTGAAGGAGAATTGAAAAGATTAAAGGTAAAATCACAGAAATGGCCTGTTAGCTGATGGATTTTTCTGAGTATGCTTCCTCTAATGAAAGGGCTTTAAAGAAAACAGAAGGCAACAACAATAATTAAATATCTGTCATTGTATATTTCTATAGAAAGGTATTTTAGTGTTTAAATTGTTTTATAGTGAATTCTCTGTTTTAGACAAGTTGGTTTGAGGAAGTTATGTCTTAGAAGCTCATATTTCTTGTGAAAATCTGTGATCAGAATCTTAGGATCCATATCTTATGGATGGATAGGCATTTATTTTGTAGTATCAGAATACTATGCAATGTTTTATAATATTAGAACTCAGAATTAGAACTACCAGTGGAGTTGACTGGTAGAAAATTTGGTAAAAACAAAAGTGTGACTGAGTCTGTCATTTGTACTTCTATAATTTTCTGGTTTAGTACAACAACGAAACAGGACAGGTACAGACTCCAACAGATAGTTAAGATTGCAGAAAGAAAAATTGCAACCAGCCTGCCTTCCAAAGAAGACCTGTATATTGTGCAGGTCAGAAGGAGGACTGAGAAGATATCTGGAGAACCCTCATGTCTGTTTCAACTCCTTCCCTTGGGATGGCGCTAGAGAGCATTGTATGCCAGAACAACTAGACACAGGGACAGTTTTCCCCCCATGCCATCGCTCTGCTGAACACCCTAATTCTCACAGTGCTGTCTATTGTCTTTGTATATTAATCCATGTAGTGTGGTTATAGTATTATTTTATCCTTCTTATTATGTTCTTTACTCCCCCCTTTTATTGGTATTATTATTCTGTTGCATTGCATGTACACTCAGTAGTTCTGTACCGGAGACAAATTCCTTGTGTGTCTAATCACACTTGGCCAAACAAAGTATTCAGTTCATAATCCTAAGTGGCCAGGAGGAGAAATTACCAGAATTGGAAGCATAACTGTCATTAATAAGTACCCAACAGTAAACTTCAGCTCTGAACCAGGAACCTCATCAAACTAGAGCCCTATGGATGGGGCTTGAAAAGACAACCACTGCTAAAGAGAGATTGTACCCTCCTTAGAATAAGGTCATTATAATTCATTAAAATTTTCCACTAATGGAGACAACGTGTATTATAGAAGGTAACTGGGAAATGACAAACACTAAGTTCAGGCGGAAGAGTAATAAGGCACTCTGTTGTTCTTTAAGAAAGAGGAATTAATAAAAAATTCTCAGAGAATGTAATGTTGCAGGATGTGGTGGTGACCATTGACTTTAAAGATTACAGGTCATATTTATTAAAGAGATTGAAAATGTCTATGAGGTATGATACTGAAATCAGGATTCAGATTTAGAAAAAAGGTACCCCATAATATTATTTACTGTGAGTCAGAGGGGAAGGAGTGACTAATTGCCTTCTTGTTATGTTTGCAATTTTGCTGAGAATATTTGATTGGCAAATATTATTAGTATGATCATGTAGACTTTTGATTTGATCCCATGGGGATGTTTTTAATTTTTAATATAAGAAAGAACTTTCTTGTTTCCTTTAAATATTTTACTACTTAGTCATACTCATACGTTCCTATTTCTTTCATAAAAAGAGTAGCTCATTGGTGGCATTCATAACTTCGTTTAAAGCAGCTTTCACCAAACTGGCACAATCCAGTGCTCTGACTTGCAAAAGGATATCTTGTTGGGAAGACATACGACTATTATTATTTTATTTAGCACAATATCTACATTGCATTTCAATCTTAACCAAATTTTACTATTTGTTATATATCACAATATACCCTAATTTGTGCAACACTCTTATTTGTCTAGGGCTATAGGGAAAGAATCAAACCAATGGTAAAGGATGGTATATATTTTATGCATGAAGCTTTGCATGGCTCTCCAAAGAAGATTTTAGTGGAAGGTGCAAACGCAACATTATTGGACATTGATTTTGGTACGTGTGAATAGCAAAATCTGTTCACTTCTGAAAGTGACTGTTATGTAAATAACACCTCAAATTACTTTTCATGTCCTTAGGAGATGAGTGATTTTACCTCACGCAGAATACTTTGTCCCATTAAAACTTATATTATATCTCAGTCTTTAATGTGCCATAGAACTCTTTGTTTTGGTAGTATTATAAATCCTAGGTAATATAAGTACTCTTGAAAAACTTATTTTTAACTAGAACATATTGAAAGTGATTGCCAATTCTGTGATTTTCTCTCTCCCCATTCTAATGATGATAGAGATGAAAATATGCTTTAATGAAATTTGTAATGTAAAATGTTGAGGTAAGTTTTCTCAAGTGGAACTAGTCTTCCCGTTCAAATTTCATACCAGAAATATACTTTAAAAATCCTGCATTTCAAAAGCTTAAAATAGATGCACCTTTCTTCTGATAGATACTGTGGTGATATGATGGAACATAATCAAATATGTGCATGTCTGTTAGATGTATATATAATACACGTTCAGATGTTGCACATAACGTAGAGTTTTTATTAGAAACCACTTCTGAATTAAGCAGAAGTCTAAAAATATCCTTGCAGTTAACTGTAAATTTTGTCTGGAATAGACCATTATACAATGATGTTAAATAAATAAGTGCTGTTACTATAAAGCATGAATAAGAGCTGCAGCTGTATATCTCAGTGGAAATGTTTCTTGATATAAAAAGCAGTACTGTGACTAAGACCTAATTTATACATTATTCAAGAACTTTCATTGTAACAATACAAATCTTACAATTTATGTACCCTTCCTTTATTAACCTGTGTTAATAGGTACTTATCCTTTTGTAACCTCGTCAAATTGCACTGTGGGAGGTGTTTGCACTGGCTTAGGTATGCCACCTCAGAATGTGGGTGAGGTATATGCAGTTGTGAAAGCATATACAACTAGAGTTGGGATTGGTGCCTTTCCTACAGAACAAAACAATGTAAGTATAATGTTAAAATAAATATACAGGGCCTCAAGTGTCATGCATATAATTTCCCATAAAATTACATAAAGATTGAATAGCGATTTTCCTAATAGTAGAGATGTCTGTGGAGATTCTCAATCATTCAGGTCATGGTTGTCCCAAAGGTGCTTTTCAAAAGTCAACTGGATTTTTTTTTTCCCCCTTGAAGATGTTTCGCTTCTCATCCAAGAAGCTTCTTCAGTTCTGGCTGAAAGGTGGGAAATGGAAGGATTTATATTCCTTAGCACTCTGAAGATCGGTTGTTAGCTTTCTGAGAATTGTTGAGGCCTCTTGGAGGTTTATCTTTACCCTCAGGATCATCTGAATCAGAGTGCAAATGTGTGTGGAACCTACTTGGGACTGCTGAAAGGACTGTGTTGTAGACAGCGGATAGGTGGTGTCATACCCCCCCCCCTCTGTTAGGGAGGGCTGTTCAGTCTTAATATAGCTGGTCTCTTTGATCCCTCTTTTAAACCAGTGGTCCTCTCTGTGCAGAACGTGGGCTTTGATGTCTTCAAAAGAGTGGCCTTTGTCTTTCAGAATCTTGTCCCATCAGGACAAGAGTCAGTAGTCCATTCAAATTTGAAAGACAAAAGTCACTCTTAGCATATAGTCATTAAATGCCATTAATAGATTTGTGAAAAAATTGCTTATTCTGCTAGTATTTTTAAATTACCTGACATTAATAAAGGTAGCTTCTGTATTTTTATCTTGTTTCATGTACGTTACTTGGGTAGAATATAAAACATACTTTATTTTGTTACAAATACATTTGGTTTATAAGTTGATAAAATTGTTCCAAGATAGTGTCATTAATGTGTTTTTTGTTTTTTATTTTTTATTTTAGGAAATTGGGGAATTGCTACAGACACGAGGAAAAGAGTTTGGTGTGACCACAGGGCGAAAGAGAAGATGTGGCTGGCTTGATCTTGTATTGCTTAGATATGCTCATATGATCAATGGATTCACTGCGTGAGTAATTTATACTGGTTTCATATGGCCTTCTTATTGATTGATATATATTACATGTTTTGTAAATTATTCCAAAGTAACAGATGAAAATAATCATTACTCCAAGTAACAAAATTCCAGTTTTTTGAATGTCATCGTAGAAACTAGTGATTTTAAAAATGGATATTATTGTAAAACTTGTGTGTGTATATTAATTTTACATATTTCACGATGGAAATATAGTACAGGTAATCCTCGACTTACAGCAGTCTGTTTAGTGACCTTTTGAAATTACAATGGTACTAAAAAAATGACTTAAATGACCATTTTTCACAGTTATGACCATTGCAGTATCTCCATGGTCACGTGATTTACATTTGGATGTTTGACAACTGATTCACCTTTATGATGGTTGCAGTGTCCTGGGGTCAAATGATCACCTTTTGCAACCTTCTGAGAAACAAATTTGATGGGGAAACCAGATTCATTTAACAACCATGTTACTAATTTAACAACTTCAGTGATTCTTTTAACAAATGTGGCAAGAAAAGTTGTAAAATGGGGCAAAACTCACTAAGAAATTTCTCACTTAACAACATAAATTTTGGGCTCAATTGTGGTCATAAGTTGAGGACTACCGTGGGACAAGACCTTCATAAATATGAATCGGTTGTACCTATGAAAAACAGTCACATCAATTTTTTCAGTGCCATTGTAACTTTAAACGGTCACTAAATGAACTGTTATAAGTTGAGGACTACCTGTACATTAACAGTATGCTATCTGTTTTGAATTTAAATAGGGAATTGTTAGGGGGACAGCTTTAGGAGATTGGTTAGCGATATTTATTATCAGCAGCTGTTTTTTTTCTGAGTAATTAATTATATCTAGCTCAATTTTCTATCACTGCATTTCTTTTCTGAATTTAACTTTCCCTATAGGAAAATGTTGTGATTCACGTGAGTTGATAGAATTCAATATAGATGAGAATATGTCTTGCATTAATTAAAGTTTTAGGCATGTTTTTGGATTTTTTTCAACTCATTTAAGTTTTCTTTGCTATAATATTGTTCCTAAAAATGTGTTCTAGAAGGGGAATAGTAGTATTTTCTGAAAATGGAGGGTACAGCATCAGAGTTGATCGAGGACATATTGATGGAATAGAATAGAATAGAATAGAATAGAATAGAATAGAATAGAATTCAATTACTGGCCAAGTGTGGTTGGACACACAAGGAATTTGATGCCAGCCTTATGAGGTAGATCAAATAGAAAACACAACCAGATGAGTTAATTCTTTACTGTAAGGTTGTATTAACAGAATCTTACAAATCTGAAATCTTTCCCCACCAAGCATCTCCTTCATAGCCCCCAAAACAGGTGGGGAATCTCTTCTGAGCCTCTTGCCCCGCCCACCTTTCTGCTGCAGGCTAAGCCGCCTTCCTTTGGTTGGGTCGGATTGCCCTTTGTTCCAAGTCACTCCCACATACCATTGAGATCTTTACTCAAATAAGTCTTATTTGGTTAATAATATAATTATAGACATTTTCAAAGGTGATACCCACTCGTGGTGGCATCCTGATTTGGAATCTTTTTCCTAGAAAGGGAATTATTTCCTAGGTAAAACAAATATATTTTAATACTTCTAAGTCTTTTAGTATAGTAATATTTTAACAAGAATCTCCTGCTACATGAAGATTTTAATCAAAATTTGTTATTCCATTTTTTCTCTTTAGAATAATTGTGTTTTTAGTTTAATTTTAGATTCAGTATCTTAAAATTGTTTGTATGCTGCCCTAGCAAAAAATTGCTTTTAAACATAACTATATATTTTTGAAGAAAAGTAATAGCAGTAGCTATGTGCAGATTCTAAAAAAGAAAGTTGTCACTTCTGAGTGATACAGTTGGGATCATAGAATATTGTACTACAATTACATCTGCAGACAGCTAACGGTGCATCAGCTCTAGCGATTAACACTGCAATTTATTTGATGTAATTTGATATTTAGTCAATACTGAGTAGATGGTATTTTAAGAAGGTAACTTTAAATTTAAAATCCAAGAGTTTATGTTTGCCTACAAATAACTAAAATTGGAACATCTCTTTTAAACAGACTGGCTCTTACCAAATTGGATATTTTGGATGTATTTCCTGAAATTAAAATTGGGGTTGCCTACAGATTAGATAATAAAATCATACCTCATTTCCCAGGTAAGAAAATATAATGTACCAAATATGTTCATTCTACAGTGCTACTACTACTAAAAAGATATGATTACTATTAGATGTACTCCATCGCTTCAGTAGGTTTTGTTGATACAATTCCATATATTTCATCTATAAAAAAAAGTACAGTTCCCTGCATTAATTACTTGGGTTGGGAACTTTCCCCTCTTGAATTAAGACTTTAAGACTTCAGTTGTTTATTTTCATTCATTTTGTAAACTACCAAAGGAATGATTCCATTACCATTTTAAGATGGGCTTATATTCTTCAGTTCAGTGATTGGATAGATAAGCTTATTTTTATGAATGTTTTTCTGTGATCAAAATGGACACAATTGTTCTGGACTCTTAGTAACTAATGATTTGGTTCATTAATTGATTAGTCTTATGTTAGTGGTGGTAACGTAAATATAATTCTATTAGTCTGGTTCTTTTTTCTTCTCAGCAAACCAAGAAGTCTTAAATAAAGTAGAAGTGCAGTATGAGACCTTCCCAGGATGGAAGAAAGACATATCAAATGCAAGGACATTTGATGAATTGCCTGTAAATGCACAAAACTTTGTTCGATTTATAGAAATGGAGCTCGGAGTTCCAGGTAAGTGCAACACAAGGGATCCTTCAAATCAGATGTGTTGTAAAATTGTCATTGGAGAATCATACTTTTGTGCAACAATTCATAATTTTTGTTGTTAGCTACTTTTAGCAATCAAATCGTCCTCTGTAAATCTTAAGTTTATGAAAAAAGAAGCACTGAATAAAAAATCCTGATTTACAAATAAATATTAATAAGTAATATTAAACTGGTTGCTTGTGGTTTTAGAACATATAATATATTTATTTTCAAAAAAGGAAATTGTTGTATTTAATAATAATTTAAACTGATTGAATGAAAAGTTCCTTTTGAATTTTAAGCAATTAAAAATGATTATCCTAATATTAAAAGAATGGAATTGTATTCCCAAATGTGTTTAAGCTTTAGCAAGTACAATTTATTGTTCCATTATTTGATAAACTGGGGAAGTTCATACTTCCCACTTACAGAAGATGATATAAAAGTTTTAAATGTACATTTAAAACAGTGGTTCTCAACCTTTCTAATGCCGCGACCCCATAATACAGTTCCCCATGTTGTGGTGACCCCCAACCACTTATACATCGCCGGGTGCCAGGGGCGTGGCCAAGTGGGTGTGGCCACCAAGTGGGTGTGGCCACCAAGTGGGCGTGGCCCCCCAACCATAAAATTATTTTCGTTGCTACTTCATAACTGTAANTGTTGCTTCCCCCCTTTGCTAATGGAGAGGAGAAACTGCAAAGCTGGAAACCAGCAGGGGGCGCCAATCTCCAGCTCATCCGTGTTTCCGGAAATTCTTCCAGCCCGCCTTGCTGAGACTCTCCGGATCTGAAAGATTCTCAAAGATTTATATTCTTTTATGTTCTATATTTTATATCCCTGAACAATCAAGCTATCCTTTCCTCTTCCCCACAGACGGGGCCTTATTTCCACTCTGTACATGCTCAGAGGAAAGGTGACTGCAGAAGAAAGCAGATGATTCAAGCCTTGAAAAGACCCTAGAATGTTTCTCATACTTTGTTCATTACAGGAAATGTGAAATCAACTGAATTTGTTCAATCCTAATAAGAAACCAGGATTTCTTCTTTTAGTCCAAGGATTCCCCAGAAGAAGCGCCAAGGGAGAGAGCAGCCATCTTAGTTTATTCTGGGGAAAACCAAAGACTTTGAAACTTCCTAAAGATTCGTGGCTTCCCCAGAGAAGGAAATTCCTCTGACATTTTCCCCTAGAAAGACATATCTTTCCCTTGAAGACGCCACGAGAGCCTCTGAGCGTTTTTCTCCAGAGCGAAAATCATTTGGGATGTCATGACCTTAACACAGAATCATAGGAGTGGAAAGGACCTCAGAGGTCTTCTAGTCCAACCCTCAGATCTAGGCAGGAAATTTAATACCATCCCAGTCTTATCAGTTCTCCAGTCTATTTTTGAAAACTTCCAGTGATTGAGTACTCACAATTCCAGGATGAAAATTATCCCACTGATTAATTGTTCTCACTGTTAGAAAATTTCTCCTTCTAGGTGGGTCCCCCTTTAACAAGCCCCCACCCCTTATTTCCTCTCCTGCCCTCTGGGGCTTTGGAGAAGAAGTCCCTCCCCTCTTCTCTGTGACAGCCCCTCAAGTAAAGACAGGCAGTTATTATGACACACACAGAGACACACAAACAGACACACACAAATTCTTCTGTGCGATAGACTGGGCATACCTCGCTCTCTCAATGGCTCCTCACACCGTTCCTCACGTCTGCGCCCCTCCCCCCAGGCCCAGGTAACCCTCCCGCTTTTCCCAGCCCCCCATTTCTGCCCCTCCCCCCAAGAGGCGGAATGCCTGGAAGGGGATTTCCTGACGGGACTTTCGCTTTCCTTTTCCTGCCTGTCCAGCCTGGACATCTGCCTAGCAACACTGACGACACGGGCATACCCTTTTTCTACTGGTTGGGCTTGACCAATCACCAGCTTTTGCTCTGGGTTGTTGCGTTGTTGATCACCCGGACTGCGTCTTTCTCTGCCTGCGACTTCTGGGGAGCGGATCGCAGTTCGAGGATCGCAGCCAGGATGGCGCTGCGCTCTCTGTCGCTCCTGGTGTTGGTGGGGGTCGCTCTGCGGGAGAGCTGCCTCGGTGAGTCCCTTTATCTCCCGGTGGGGATCCATCCAGGGAATCTCTCCTCCCCCCCCCAAAGATTATTCCCAGGAAGAGAATCCCGATTCGGTCCTCTTTCTAGTCCGCTCCCCCTCTGGCCCCTCTCAGAAGGGACCCCAAAGCCTGGATGGGACTTTGCTGCCTCCCCCTCCCCCCCAGGAGAGCCCCTCTGGGAACGGGACAAGGGGGGGCCCTCCAGAGGTCAGTCAAGTCTACCTGGGCGCCTCCGAGCGCGGTTCTTTCCCTCCCGCAAAGTGGAGGTTGTGGGAAAGCGGCGTTTGCAGGGACCAGGTCAGTTCCCAAACTTCCTGGCTGCCTTCGCACAACCCCTCCGCCTGGCTCCTCTTTCCTGCCTTTGGCGGGGCTCGGGGGCTCTTTGGGGCTTCTGGTGCTGGGAGGAGCCGGCTCGTTTCTGGAATCGGTTCCGTGTATTGGCAGACAAGGAGGCTGGAGCACTGGAGCCCTCGGGTTAAGGCTGTCCTGGGAATGCAGCAGGAGAAGAGTCTGGAGAGAAGCCCTCCTTGAACTCTCTTCCCAAAGATCCCCCCTGATTGATTGATTGTCACTTTCCCCTGGATCCCCACCCCCCACCCCGTCCTAAACCCCAATATCCCCAGAGCTGTTTTCTAGGACAGGCAGGAATTTTTCCACCCAAAATCCTCCTCCTTCCATTTCAGGAGCCCCCAGCACGGGAGAGTTTGCAGAATCAGAAATATTTAAAATTTATTCCTTAGTAATCAGATAGGTGGTCTTGGGGTGTCCATAGTTCAGTGATGGCGAACCTTTTAGAGACCGAGTGCCCAAACTGCAACCCGAAACCCACTTATGCATCGCCGAGTGCCAGGCAGGTGTGGCCACCAAGTGGGCGTGGCCACCGAGTGGGCGTGGCTATAGTAGTCATGGCAGTGTGGGTGGGCCTGGCCAGGGTGGGCATGGCCACCTCGATGTTGCTCCTGAGGAGGGATGCCTGTGGGAGCCGGGCAGGGTTAGGGGAGATCCAGAGGGTCTCTGTGGGCGGGGCAGTGGGCAGGAGGCTCATCATCTTGTTTTGGCAATGAGCCAATCAGATCACAGTAGGAGTCAGTTATTGATGTCATGTATTGAAATTGAGAGGAGGACATTTGTCAGTGTGTTATGTGATCGCTATCAAGTTGGTTGGGTTTTTTGTGTTCTTTCTTTTAGTGAGCTTGTAAAACGTAATAAAATTAAAGTAATGGTGCAAAGAGTTGACTGGTTGCCCAGAAAGCGATGTAAAACAGAATTATTAAGTGAACAAGGCTACGGTTATAAAGAAGTTAGAAGAAAAATTGATGGAAACTTAACCAAAGGTGGCATTTCTACTGTACATTTTTCCCAAAAGGTTTCCATAATTTTGGCCACTACTGTATGAGGGGGGAATTAAACAATGAA